CGAGTTTAGCCTTAGCTTATCCTTTCACTTTGTTGGTTGAGACTCCGAGAATATATGTGTAATTTAAACTCACAACCACTCAGCTTTTAATTCTTTTCAGAAATCTCTATCCGCTTTCTTGTGGAAATCTATCAATTTAGAAACATTTAATTTTCTCAACAATGGCGCAATATATTGTGTTGCAGAATATATGACTCCTGTTTAAGACCATACTTTGTGAACTTGCACAAACTGTAAATATCCGAATATCTAAATATCTAAGAGATCTAGAGAATGTGAATCGGCACAGACTGTTAAATATCTAAATATCTAACTAGCCTAGGAAATGTGAACCTGCAGAAACTGTAAATATCCAAATATCTGGACGTCTAAATAGCTAAACATCTAAGAAGCCTACAACCACGGCCTACGAGACGGAAAATCAATTCAGTTCTCTGAAAGCTGGCATAGAAATCTGTGAATGGTTTTACGTGGATATATAGTTCGAAGTGTCCTTTACAAAAATGTCGTAAATAATTCGTAAATTCTATTCGTAATTCACGTAAATTCTATAACTCCGTCAAAATAAGTCAGAAGAGGCAAAAAAAACTTTTTTAATCCCAGATTTGATTGTAGAATCCGAATATAAAATAAAAACCATAGGTTAATTATTTACTCGTGACTGCTTTTCTCGGCCGCCTGGCAAATCATGTTTTAATAAAGCTTTATCTACACTTCCATAAGTTTCTTTACTTTTTTGTTATCGTATTGCTTTGTATTTCATCATAGAAACGAAAGTAAACACAAAAAAGAGATTATGATAACAGAAAAAGTAAAGAAACATATAGAAGTGTGTATACAATTTTATTAAAACATTGAGGGCATGCCTGGTAGTCATTCTGTATCGAGAGCCGACTGAAAATCGGCATAAAAGGAGAAATTTTTCTGCACATATTTGGGAGAACCTTTAACTGCAGCTGCAGTGGGTATTTCCTCATAGAGCAGGCGGCATGTTGTCGCCGTCAAAGTTTTTGGAATCTGAAAACACTTTTTTATAGGTTTTCGACTATGGCGATGTCAGAAATACAACAGATCCTGTCGATTTTCCTGAAAAACCCGACTCAGCCCAAAATTTTCGTCCAAAGTGAACCAAACGTATGACTCTAAAAGTAACGGCAAGGATGAAATAAAACGCTTCCTTTACCTTTCAATTAGAAAATTTTGATAGGACGCTGAAAGAATTTACCGCACTGCATCCAAGGTCCAGCTCGTGTTTAGTGAGTCCATTGTCATTTTATGTTCTAATTCAGACGGACTTCCTTCAATATATTGCGCCATCGTGGAGAAAATTAAATGTTTCTAAATTGATGAATTTCCAAAACAAAGCGGCTAGGGATTTCTGAAAAGAATTAAAATCTGAGTAGCTATGAATTAAAATTGCGCATATAGGTGAGGAATGGCTTAAATTTCAACAGACATTCCAGTAAAATCGTGTCCTCCATCTAACGATGTTAAGAAAACCGAAAAAGAAGTTGTTTCGTTTTTGCATTGCCGACTTCTTATAATATTTTCTCTGCGCTTGACTGCTGGCTAAAGTCAGTTTGAATGCATGAAACACATCACACTGTCAGTAAAGATCGGGTTAATGAAAGCATTAACTGATGGTTTATAGTAGAGTCATATTTCAGATGTGCAGCAATAACAAAAAATATCACGTTGCTATCGTTGGTGCTGGTGTAATGGGTTTAACAGCAGCATGTACTCTGTTGAAAACATATCAGGCTTCAGCAATAGACATAACAATAATAAGCGAAGCGTTTACACCAAACACAACCGCTGATGTATCAGCTGGATGTTGGCAGCCGTACGGCTTAAAATCTATGAATGATTTAATATTAAAATGGGCTTCGTATACCTACAATATTTATATGGCCGAAGCTTTTTCAAACAAAGCGGCCAAAGGCGGAATTATGAAAGTACCTGCGTATTTATTGCACGGTTATAAAGGAAAGTTTGTTGCCGAAGAAGGTGCAGATGGTGAATTAATTGAAAAACCATTGTATGGATCACTTGTTCCACACTTTCGCAAGTTGGATCAACAAGAACTTAATGGATTCAAACACCTAGAACCAGTTTCTGGTTATGTAATGACTACAATTGTTGTTGAAGTTAGAAAGTATTTAAAATGTTTAACTCGATATTTAAATGAAAATGTTGCATTTGTTCAGCGTCGCATAGAATCGTTATCAGAGCTGTTAAACGGCGAGTACGATATTGTCATTAACTGTACCGGCGTGCAAGCAAAATATGTGGTACCAGATGATAAAGTTAAACCTGCAAGAGGTCAAGTTATTCGTGTTAATGCACCATGGATTAAATGTACTTATGAGTTTCAGACTGGCGATGGTTTCGGTTATATTATACCTCAAACAGATCATGTCGTACTTGGAGGTAAGGTGTAATTAGTATGAGCTTTTTCTCCCGATAAACATGCACGGTAGGCAAAGATATTTTGGCACTACACAATGCTGGTAAGTGAATAAAACTACTGTTCGTCCAAAGCGTTCATGCGTGTAACTATTTAAAATAAATCGAAACATAGGTAAGTGACTCGGCTGAGTCTCATGACAACGCTTACTTTTCGAAAAATTTTGTTTATGAAAATCTAGCGAAAACCTATATTAATATTCCATTTTTGCCCATTTCCATGTAAAATTAGAATATTCATTACGTAGTCTAAATCGATGCAAACCACTTGAGAATATCAAGATGTACTCTATTTTATCTGTTCAATCGGATTGTGTGGTTAAGATTAGTAAAAACTCTTCTGTTACTTCTAAAGATTCTAGAAAACCTTATCAACAACCAAAGTATACTCAGTCGTTCTTTCTTAGTAAGACAAGGGTTTTTGCTACTCTTAACTGCAGAATCCGATTGAACAGATAAAATATAGTACATCTTGATATTCTGAAGTAGTTTGCATCGATTTGACTACGTAATGAATATTTTAATTTTACATGAAAATAGGCAAAAATGTAATATTTCACTTAATATAGGTTTTTGCTAGGTTTTTTGAAACTTTTCGAAAAGTAATCGTTGCCTTTAGACTCAGCGTGATCCCTCACCTATCTTTTTTTACCACACCTACGGACATATCGATCCTGGGTCTTCGAGGAAAGCTGATGCCGCGCCTAAACCACAAAAGATTAAGAAGTCGCTTGGTTTCCATTTTACATACTATGGGCTATCTATCATGTAGAAAAGCTTATATATTACTATGTTAAAGTTTAAGATTATGAAACGGCTTTCCACAGATCGCTCAAAAAACGGTTTTTGAAGTTTTTTTCAAAACGTCTCCGGTTATGGGAAGATGCATTCAGATCTACTATCGAATGGTGAATACCACAGGTCTCTATCTCTGTTTGTTCTTGAGTTATTCAAAAAATAGTCACACGCACGACTGTTTTGGACGGGCGGTCGTTCAGGAATATAATAGTTTATATACGTCACACAAAGTTGATTTATTATCTTCTGTAAAAGTATGTTAAGTAAAAATATAATGTGAGTTTCAACGGATATTTTTATATTTAGGTACATTTGGTATGGACGACTGGAATCAAAACGAAGATAAAGATGATACAAAAATGATAATGAAAAAATGTACAACATTATTTCCATCGTTGAAAAATGTGCAAGTTATAAGCGTGGATATTGGCCTGAGACCCCTTCGTGATACAATTCGATTAGAATATGAGTTAATAAAATCCAGAAACACTGAAAATGATGTACATGTTATACATAATTATGGACATGGTGGATCAGGTGTTACATTATGTTGGGGATGTTCAAAAGATGTAGTTGATTTGGTTAGAAAAATTATTCCTGCACAGAACGAAAGAAAAGCAGAGACATCGACCAACGCTGTTGAACAACATGAAGAATTGTGGAATATAATTGATGATAATGAATTGATAACCTAAACAGTTTGAGCTGAGACACACGTTTGCGTTACGCACCATTCCTAACTGTTGACATGATAAATTCTGTGTCTATGCTGTTGCCTTTGAAACCGAGGGTCTTTCAGTAATGTTTGAAATGTTGCTCTACGCTAATTTTTCCCAAGCATTTTGTGATAGATCGATTGGATTTAGGCAGAAGCATCAAAGGTAAGTCACTGAACAAGAACGTTCAGTCTTCTCTAGTAAAAATCCTGTCCGGAGCTACCTGAAAAAAGCTACCGGCAAATCAAAACGTAACACGAGTTCCCCTTTTCGTTTTTTTTGTCATGGTTGAATCGATTGTCAAGTTATCGAGATGAAAGCCAATCTTAGTTCTTTTAAAACGCATTTTTTAATGAAAAGGTTCGAAAATATTGCTGTTTTGAAATCGAGTAAATATCACCAAATCTTGAAAAATATGCAAAATTTGTCAAATCAATATTTTTTCCAAATTCCAACACTATTGAAAAAATCCAAAATAACCATATAATCATCCTCACCCTCATCTCACACTTCGGATCTCACTTTTTAGCGCTATCTGTCATGAAATGAAGGTAACATTCGTAATCAGCACTAAAAGCTGAGTGGAATGATATACTATTCATAGTTTTATTCCTTCATCAAAAACTCATATGGAAAAAAATTAAAAGGCTGTCTATATACTCAGCTTTTAGCGCTGATTACGAATATTACCTTATTTCATGGCAAATAGTCCTTAAAAAAGTTAGGTCCGAAGTGTTTTTTTTATAACAAATAGCTGTTAGTTTTACTTTTAAGCACTCCTTCGTACATATTCTTGATCAGCTCGTCAAGCTCTATCGATTATTATATTTGAAAAAAGATTTCATTCCTATTTTCTATCAAAAATAAATTATTAATGGCAGTCAGTGTCAAAAAGGTTGGTACTTTCTTCGAAAACTACAGAAAAGTACATAAAACTGAACTCTGTCGAGCCACATCGAAATTAAAATATTTTGAGAAGGAGCCAGTTTCTACAGTGTTCACGAGCTAATCTCTTAATAAAAAACAAATTTATTCAAGCAAAATTCGGCTGGCCTGAAAAACAAAAACGCTCGCTTTAATGGGGTCAAATGTAAAGATAAATTCCATTATCTTTGTTTCGATCCTTTACCATGCTTTTTGTTATAAAATTGATGTGTCAACATTCTATATTACACGGTCATAAAGACAGGGTTGTTGCCGAAGGTGTAGATGGTGAATTAATTGAAAAACCATTCTACGGATCCCTTGTTATATACTTACAAGTTTAAGAAATGGAATTGTATCAGTCTTATCTAAAATAAATAAATAAATATTAGAATTTGAATGAAACGGGTACACATCATCATTTGAACTTACTCGATTCACAATGTCTGTCATACAGTTTTTGCATTTCACTGAAGAGTAAATTCATTTGTTGTAGTATTACGTGAGGTTCTGCTTTATTTAACTCCTCACGAATGTACGGGATATGATCTGGTAACATTGTTGGATGTTTACATGATGTATTTGTTTCAAATGAATATCGTACTATATCTTTTTTAGATTCATCGCAGTGCTGTAGATAATTCTCTAAATTTTCTGATATATTATCTGAATCTAAACATTCATCAGCTGTACCTCTGACGATCATGTAATAAACTGAATTACGTTTTACAGCATCTAATAATTCATCGTCACAGGACTTGTCAACCATCTTGTTTCAATTAATCACCGACAATTTCAATTAGTCATAATCACTACATCACAACACTTGATCAAATATACACACAAACAGAACGTATTCCCAAATAAATTGTGATCTATTTCTGCGGAAAACGTTTCGCAAACACAGTAACTAGAAGGCGGATTGTTCTCATACCTTCACGTTGTTTATCAACCAATCTTTCAAACCCCACTTCTTCACCATACTCGACTGTTGATACTGAAACAATAAGGATAAACAAACACAGCAATAACAGATGAAATTCAACCGAATACTCTGAAAAAAAAGTTAGTCGATCACTAAGAAATATGTCGGTCTCTGCCAGTGTTTATTCAGTCACAGTGATGAGATTAAATGAGCAGGCTTTATCTTCAGCGTTAAATTAATAAAGAAGCGACATTTCGATTTAACACATAAAAACCACATATTTTTCCTGCACTTTGCTATGACAATAATGCATAGCCATAGAATGACATAAAAATGTGTTCAAAAAGAATATCTAATTTTTTGCGTTAAATTAAAATTTCGTCCCATCGTAAATTTAAGTTGAAAAGCAAGATCTGCGCAACCGTTATCAACTTGATCATGAAGGTTGATTAAATATACACGGAAACAGACCGATGTATTCTTATATTAGTTGTTTTCTTTAGAAAGGAGGAGTACACTTTGTAAATAGCTAGCGTATTGTACTCTTCCCTTTTCGTAGAACGGACACTAGTTTTTTTATGCTCAATTTGTTCATCATATTGGAGCGATGACTCTGAAACAATAAACATGAAAACAATGTACGATAGTGGAATATATTGCAGAATATATGACTCCTATTTAACGCCATACTTCGAAAAAGAAGTTAATCGATCACTAAGAAATATATCACTCTCTGCCAGTCTTTATTCAGTCACAGTGATGCGATTAAATGAGCAGGCTTTATCTTCAGCATTAAATTAACAAGTAACGCTCATCTACAGATTCGCTGACCCTTTTCTGAAAAGACTTAGTTGGCTTCTCCACTCTGAATTTCCACACTCGTCAGTGACTATACGTATGTACGTCCGTCACACCTAGTGGTCACTATATGTATGTACGTCCGTCACACCTAGTGGTCACTATATGTGTGTACGTCCGTCACACCTCTGTACGGACAAACACACACACACAAACACTTTGTACTTTTTCGTATGACCGAATTTTTTTCGTATGACCATAGACTTACAGTCAAAGCGACAAGATCGACTTACAAAACAATGAATAATAATCCCGACAGTTCATTCACTCGACCTACAGGCAATGCACTTAGTGAATCGATGCGATTCACTTTACTCACGTTATTTATTTATTCTAGTGACTGTAAGTCTATAGCCATTCTGAAATCCAGACAATGCTCACGCGTTCCTTCGGTCCGCGTTCGCAGCCAGGACAAGTGTTATACTTCTCTGCTACCACAGAAAACTCGAACGCATCGACCTATGTGCATCTATGTCCACCACCCTCGTCACTGACTATACGTATGTACGTCCGTCACACTCCCACATGACTGTATGTATGTACGTCCGTCACACTGCATTCTGATTGGTTGGACAGACAGACAGACAGACAAACATTTTCTGTTTGGAAGACCCTTTCTTTCAGAAAAGGATATAAAGAAGCGACATTTCGATTTAAGACTTTGAATTGAAGTTGAAATTAATTTATTAATTTATAATTAATTTATTTATAATTAATTGAATTCCTATTTAAGACCATACTTTGTGAACTTGCACAAACTGTAAATATCCGAATATCTAAATATCTAAGAGATCTAGAGAATGTGAATCGGCACAGACTGTTAAATATCTAAATATCTAAGTGGCCTAGGAAATGTGAACCTGCGGAAACTGTAAATATCCAAATATCTGGATGTCTAAATAGCTAAACATCTAAGAAGCCTACAACCACGGCCTACGAGGCGGAAAATCAATTCAGTTCTCTGAAAACTGGTATAGAAATCTGTGAATGGTTTTGCTTCCTCACCCTTCCTCACGAGCCGCGTCTTTGATGTAGCTATCTTATTTTAATTTTGTTCACGCTAAAACGAGATAAATACTACATGTCATCATTTAGATGGTCTTTGGCTACATCAGTTAAGACCGCTCCCGGAT